CCGGCGATACTAAGTCGACGCCATCCAGTGTTCAACATCGATCAGTTGAAATTGTCGATTGAGAATCCACCATACTTCGCGAAGCGATCTCTCTCCAAAGCTGCGCCTGCTATCTACGATACTCAGGGAAATCGGGTTTACGTCGTGGAAAAACTACTGCAACGTCGAACTCGCAAAGGCAAGCTTCAATATTTGGTCAAATGGCTTGATCTACCAGAATCACAAAACTCCTGGGAACCCGTTCAGAAACTACGTCGACTATCGCACTGGAAGCGGCTCGTCAATGGCTTCACTGAGCGCCAGCAACAGCTCAACACGGGGAGATTGTAATATCTGAGTGGCTCTTGCCACGCGTACACTCGTACAATTCGCTGGAAGCAGGTCGCAGCTTAGCATTGGAGCCAAAGCACACGCTGAGTACTTCGATTGGCTGCTTACACGCGGGACCCACTCGAAGTGAGCGATCACCCGTCTAGGCTCTCTCTAGTTTTGTTCATTGACATGATAAGCCTTCGATCCAATGCATCATTATCTGTTTTACCTGCATCTGCACAGTCCGTCTTCAGTCTTGACAATTACCAGATATTACACATACACATAGCGTGATGACGCTATTGCGACATAGTAGAAATTGCAAGTTCCAACGACAACGATGGAGACACTACGCAAATCAGCGAACCGACACCTCGCATTAGCTGACGGTGAGCATGACGTTGTGAACGACCGTGTCCAGCGAGTTGAAGAGACACTGAGCGAGATAGACGAGAGAATGGCCCAAGTCAACCATCGGCTTGACCGCGTCCTGGAATGCATCGATGCACTCGTGCAGACCGTTGCTGCGACTCAGCATTCTACTCAAGCTAATGTTGAAGCTTCTAATCAGTTTCAAGAGGCGGCAGCGGTAGCAGAACTGAGGGCCCACATTGAAGCTATGGGGCGTGTTCAGGAGCTGGTTCAGCAGACAGCTGCAGCCGTGGCCGATATCCAGCAACAGCCAACTGACACCCCGGGTCAGACCAATAAACTTTCACGTCCTCGTGAGCAAGACACTGAGATGGAAGCGCCAGCTGAGAGAAAACTGCGCAGAATGGAGACGAAGCCGCCTGTGTTTGAAGGCGATATCGACGGTGTCAAGCCCGATAGTTTCATATTCCAGTTTGAAGCGTATTTTACCTTCACGGGCGACCTTGCTGAGGATGACGTCGTGGTGGCCCGAGAACTCGGCCAGTGCGTGAACAGAGATTGCTCTCTTCGTCGTTCACTACTATACCAGCGGTCTGTTCACCGGGCGCACATCAGCTAGCTCCGTTCGATCCAAGATCCACCATGTTAAATAATACCATCGTGCCTACAAAAACAGGATCATTTTCAACAAAGCCTCTACCTAGTACTGGCAGGCTTACGACCTCAGATATCTCCACATTTCTCGTTCCACTCCTTTTATCCCATACCGCTCATCAATGATTCCAGCTGTGCCCTTGTGACGAGATTGGGTCTGGGGTTTGTTCCATCACAGTTTCGCACTCTTTGTACGGCAACGCTGACCACTTTTTCGTAGTTTTTGCCCTTGTTTTCCCTCTATCAACCGACGATTAGTCCTGGCCGCGTCTTCATGACGACGGAGTGCAAATTCTTTAGCGTGTGTGGACCCGTAATTTGCTACAAATGCCCAGAAAGCTTCGTGGCACAGCAGTTATACAAGTTATGACATCGTGAGCAAAATTTATAATGTGATCTTTAGTAGAATGAAAGAAATGGTTATCTTTATCATAACTTACACTGGTAAGATGTTTGGCAGCTCAAGCAAAAGACGCGTCAAAGGGCTGGAAGCTCCGTCAAACGACGAGTACTTGGAATGGATTGCCAATCCGGCGGAGGGGGCAACTGCAGTACACTGCTGCCCGTCTTTTAGATGATCACTCGTTTGAATGAGACACGCGATATATAAGATGGAGAGATGGAGAGGCTTGGCTAATCAGATGTGAGTGTGAATTTGAGATCAGTACCGTAAGCAACGGGCTCTGTGCGACACTAGTAAAATGTTTAGTTGCTAATAAAACTCAAAATCTCGCGAATACTTTTTACGGTGTAAAACCAAGTCGAGTTGCACTACTGGACAGAGTGCGTTCCCGCCTCAATCACATCCCGCTGCACATGTTACTTCTTCTCGCGCGCAATAATGCCAAGAAGGTCCAAAAACCAATTATCGCGAGAGGCTTCAGGTATGAGAACATAGTATTCAACGGGATTTTATTGCTATGAATAATACTTACTTGTGCACATGCACTTAGCTGCTGCGCGAGGTTGGATCCACTGCAGCAGCCGCAGAATCTCTATCCGTTCATCAATCGTCACTGTATCATTGAAGAAGTATCGGGAAACCCTGCAGGTGCTGCGCAGACTTCTCTTAACAAGACGACCCGTCAACTCGTTCTTCTCTCGCCATTCGCCATCCAGCTCTAGACAAAAGGTTGGGTTTATCTTTTTCTGTTTGTAATTTGTAACCAATATCTTACTTTTTATTTTTATAGACTACTCGATTGGATTACCGACATGCGAAAGATTACGTCGCTTTGTGTATCAGCAGACGGTATGCCATTAATGCTGTCTAAATGCAACTCCGAACGGTTTCAGAGTCGACCGCGCGCAGCGAACCTCATGTATATCCGCCGATTTTGAAAGCGAAACCGCTTGACGATGAGGCGGATAACTCATAAGGTACACAATAGGTTCGCCCTGTGATATTATTAATTATGAAAACTAAAACATGACGTATGATTTACAGGCTGTAGCGGGCATGTTTTCTCGCTCTATTCAGCATACTATTGAAGAGAACGGTATTCTGTCTAGTGAGCCGGGTCCGGAAAGTATGCTTCTGTATACAATTTGGACCAAACGGCTGTATACATTGATATGAACGGAAGAACTACATTGAGTTTGTCGGTGCACCAACAGAGGACGTTTTATAAGGTATCATATGTTTTTTAAAGGATATTAATTAACCCAACTATTTTTTTCTATTGGTTTAGGCAGTGAGGTCAATGGGTTTCGAGCCTCCATTTTTCTAGCGGCATCGGCGACCGGCCAGAAGCTTCCTGCCGTCGTCGTATTTGCTGGGGTCCCTGGTGCACGTATGGCGGCTGAGGAATGGAACACCAGCTTTGGTTCTGTCGTTTACTGAGCATTTCAAGTAGAGATCGGAAATAGTAGACCGTTACGCGTGCAAGAGCTTAGTCAAAATTTCTGCAATCATTTGGTCAGTACCACAGTGCTGCGCACGCAATCGCTCCCGATCCTCCAGGTTCCGAACATAGTGAAAAAAAACGGTTCTCAATGTGTTTACTTCCATTGTGCTTGCCTTTTTTCTTTGATAACGCGAAGGCAGCCGTGTTGTCGCATTATAGTGTTGGAGTGTTGTACGCCCACTTCAGCTCGTCACACAGACCGCGTAGCCACATCATGTCCCTAGCGGCCTCGTTCAATGCAACGTATTCAGCCTCTATAGTGCTTTGGGCGTTGAGCCCCTGCTTGCGAGAACCGTATGAAACTGCACTGACATTAATTATACTGACGTAGCCGCACACTGACTGACGATCAGTTTTGTCGTTGGCGTAGTCGGCATTACTAAACACGTCCAGCCACTGCAAATCCAGCTTATCTGAGCACTTTATCACCATGTTTAGCCCAAAGTCCTTGGTTGCTTGTAGATACCGGAGTACCCGTTTGGCTTGTGCGTAGTGAGCCGCTCCAATGCAAGACATGTGCTGCCCCAATCGATGTACCACGTGAGTGATATGTGGTCTTGACCCCGACGCGAAATATTGGAGTGTTCCTACTACGTCACAATACGGCAAGTTGCTGGTATCACCAACTGCATCACCAACTTGTTCAGTATCAGGTGCTGTCGACTCGGGTGTAAAAAATCCACGACAGTCGTGCATGTGAAACCGGCGTAGAATTTCGTCAATGTAGCTTGCTCGACTGAAGAAAGCCAGATTCAGTTCTCGGTCAATTGTAACTTCAATACCAAGAAGATACTTAACAGGCTCCAAGGACATCAACTCGAAACTTGAAGCTAGTTTCGGGCAATTTCTTCACAGTTCTTCTTCTCACCCATCAGGAGTAAGTCGTCCATGTAGACAGTAAGAAGTATCACTATCTCCCCCATCTCGTCGAGAGCATAAAGACCATGATCACTCTCTAGTCGTACAAATCCGAGGGTTACCAATTGACGAGGCAGTGTCTTGTTCCTGATATAAGGAGCTTGTTTAAGCCCATAGAGAGATTTGATCAACTGACAAAATTGCTTATTTCCGGGTGAACCACTGCCTTGAGGGAGCTCCATGAAGACCAACTCGGATAAATTACCATGTAGAAAAGTCGTTTACACGTCGTATTGCAAAATCACCCAGCCTCGTTGAACAGCAAATAAAGCTCCACTCGGATCGTGTCAAAACGGATGACCGGCGCGAAAATTTCGTTATAGTTCACACCAAATTTCTGCTTGAAGCCGTGAATGACAAGTCGAGCTTTAATTTTTTTTTTCACAAACCCGAGCTCGTCCTTCTTCGTTGTAAGTACCCACTTATTTGTTTTCACCACAGATTTACCAGCTTTAGCTCTCCTGACCATCTGCCACACCATGTTACCGCAACGATTCCAGCTCCTTTTCCATTGCCGCTTGCCAATGAACTGCAAATTCAGAGCGAATAGCTTGTTTGTACGATGCCGGTATTGGTACATCGCGAGAGTGTAGCTGACTAGTCTTATGCTGTTTTAGCGAGCACAGGAGAGCTTTAACCACCTTGTTTATACAGTGGACCTCATAATTGTCCAACCAGGAATTCCACTTTCTTTTACGACCAAAACAAGAAACAGGATATATTCCGACTGTATCACGTTCACCTGTATCAGTGTATTGAGCTACCGCTACTGGTACAGAGTGAATGGAATTAACAAGAACGTCTTGTTTTTGTTTTCCATATATGGCTGTGATCGCTGTAAAACACGATCAGTTGCTAAAGGTCGCACTAATACGCTCTCGTTGACGACATCTAACTTCACCACATCATCGATATACATCAGCATATGAACTAGAGATGCACGAGAGGGAAGGTCGAGATCTCCGTGCTGATAAGTATTTGCCAACAGCAACTCCACCTAAGAACGACCCACTGTATAGTCTTCTGCGAACACCAAATTGCCGCTTCGATGTGTTGATATTGCTCTAGTCTATAATTCCAGAACCTTGTTGCCGTGAGTCTTACGAGAATATTCAATAAAGATGGAAGTACCAACTCTCCAAGATAGGTTCTTCTTTTTTGAGCTCGATCCACTAGGTATGTGATAGTAACAAAGACCCCCCCCCAAGTTCTCAGCCACGATACATCAGGCTTTTCGCCACTTAGATTTTCGTGTGGAGCCATGCCACCCAGCACTCGCGTTGCTGTAACAGTCAGTTTATACACCACTTGAAGCGCAGCTTCTCCCCACAGCGACTCTGGCGGATTCGCCATATGTAGGACAGATCTAGTCTTCGACAGCACGATCCCATTCGCTCTCTCAACCATACCATTTTCTTGTGGCGTGTACCCATTGGTGGTTGAAAGTGCGATGCCTTTCTGGTTACTGAATAACGTCGGTTGCGCTGATTCCTATTGCCTTGTTGACGTTGAGATCCACCATTACCATGAATCTGAGCATTGGATACCTGAAACACCGCTATAGTCTCCCGTTGGGATCCAGCGGCAGCAGTGTCACTTAACACCGCACGAGTTGAACCTGGACGGGGGCCTCGCATGGTTCATTCTTGTTCCCGTGCCAATAGTCGACCTCGAATTTTACCAACCTCCAACCCGGCCCCCTTCATTCTTGCAGCCACTAACTCATTGGTCAGATCTGGAAATACTTCGAGTGCATTGTTAAGGAGAAGGCGAGCCAGTTCCGCCTCGTTTATGAGGATGCCGCAAAGCCACTAGAGCTGTCGACGGCGCGGTGTCGGTCCTGTCAACGTCCCGTCGTCCAACAGTCACCGAGGGACGTTCCATCAGTGTGAGAAAGCTCTTTCGCACTGACTGCAACTTCATATGTACTTTGTTTGCATAGGATTCTGTCTGCGCCATTTTGATGAGTTCGTCAAACATGTTGTCATTCCGTAGAACTGCTTTCAGAGATGAGATGACGAAATAGAGCGACACTAACGTAGGATACGATTCTGCAGATCAGAAGCAACTCTGAACGGGGCAAGAAGAACGACGAGACATTGAATTGTGAGCAACTGCTCTGATGTTGGAAGCTTCAATTTCTTTATAGATCGGTTGCCAAACTCCATCCTCCCTACAGGAGTTTCCAGGTAAGTAAAAACAATTCTGCAGCGCCCTTTGCAGGTCAACAAATCGCTGAAGCATCGTGAACGTACTATTCCACCTAGTCGGACAATCACTCATAACCTCGAGCGGATGCTTTTTATCTGACTGTAGCTTTTCCAGCCGATGCGATCTTTTTGAGAGTGATGAAAGTACGTCAATAGTTTTCGAAATTGTTATGCACAGACTCAATGTCATTTGAACTATTCTCAGCTGAGGAAGACGTTGTGACTGTACGGACGAATGTAGCCACGGCTTCATACAGATCATCGATATCAGTATCATTAATCCAGTTGAATGGTTCACTCTGAGAATCAGCATATTTGGCATCATCAGGTCGCTCCAGCCTCCTCCAGTTGATCATCTATCCAACATGTTCGCCGCACCCTTATACCTGAGGCCATTCTGGTTCTCGAATTAACATAAGCTGGCACACCGTCGGTGGTG